TATATATATATATATATATATATATAATATAATATATATATTGTATTTATTATAATTAGGAGTATATGCAGCCATTAAGGAAGAAGTTACGTAGTGTGACAGGGACCTGCAGCCGCTGCAGCAGCAGCAGCCGTCCTAGCAGCAAAGAACAAACAACAACAGTAGGGGCAGTCATGGCTATTAATAACTCAACAGGATCAACAGGAAAAACCAATAAAAAATCCTCCCTTAATGAATGTGTTAACCCGGATAGCGCAGACACCCCAAAGGGAATTAGAAAAAAACGTACTATTATCCTGTACACACATAACACACAAACCCTAAACCCTAAACCCTAAACCCTAAACACGTCGGCAACACTGTCTGCTACACACACACACAGACACGAAGCGGGTTTACAAGATGATGAACACTCTTGAGTAGTCTGTTAGGTGCAACATTTTCTTCCCTAGGGTTTATTGCTTAGCCATTAGGGTTTAGGGTTTAGGGTTTAGAGGTGAGGGTTGAGTGTCTAGGGTTTAGGATCTAGGGTTTAGTGTTTATTATTTAGTGTGTAGGATGTATGCAATTAGCAAACTGTAAATGTTAGGAAACAAAGAAAAGAAAATAAAAAGAAGAAAAAAGAAGAAAAAAAAAAAAGGAAGAAAATAAGGAAATAATCCTTACCCTACATCAGGATATCCTCTGTACATAATTGCTCTATATGCATTTGCATTAAGACCGATGCCTACTAATGCGCCAGCAACAAGAGCAGATAGCCATACCCTGCTGCGTACTTTATGTGCAGTTAAGGAAACAATAACTAAAAAATAAGCAAAATATACCCATAAAATCATAAATGGTAACTCTGTTAGCTCTAATAGTTGGCGAGAACAACGCGATAAACCATAAGGATTATAAGGAATATACCCTGATGATGTCAGTAGACGAGCAGGGCCCACTGGTGGGGGGCCCCCACATGAGGGGGCCCCACATGAAGAGGGTCCAAGGGGGCCCTCCTCACTTGCTGCTTTTGCTGCACATATTGGAGGCTTCTCTATAGATACAGGATCGTGTACACCCACCACACAGCAGCTGCTGCCACCACGGATCCTGCTGCTCCTGCTGCTCCTACTGCTCCTGCTGCTCCTACTGCTGCTACTGCTGCTGCTGCTGATGTTGTTGCTAGTGCTGTTCGTGCTGCTGTTATTGTTGCTGCTGCTGCTGCTGTTGTTACATGCCTTGCTGCTGTCCTCCATACAGCTCAATCCACCCACTAGACCGCCGCAACCGCGGGGTGTAAGGACAGCCTCCTCTACTGCTGCCAGCCCTGCTGCTGCTCCTGCTGCTGCTGCACAGACACAACATAACACCAGCTGCTGTAACTACAAACTCCAGCTATTGATCCTCATGCCAATAGCAGCAGCAGCATCAACAATAGCATTGTCAATAACAACAGCAACAGCAATAGGAATAGCAACAGCAGCATCAACAGCCGCAACAATACCACCAGCAGAAGCAACAACAACGCTAAATGCACGACTAACAGCAACAACAGCAACAATAGCACCAACAGCAGCAACAGCAGCAAATATATTTGGCTGACAGTCATCTCTTGAGTCTGAGGGAGCGGTTGCTGCATCTGAGCAATCGGAGCGGTGGCTCAAGGAGCAGCTGAGGGGTCGACTCAAGAGGGGAGGGGAGGTCTCCATGGTGGTTTGCAGCCCTCAATGCAAACCCTACACCCTAAACCCTAAACCCTAATACCTGGTGATTCCCCTTAGAATAAGGGGTAAGGGCCCGGAGGCCTAAGGCGAAAACAAACGCGCAACAACACTTACAAAAAGGAAAACCCCACAGCTGTTGATGGTGCTCCTGGTCCACGGCCAGGTAGAAGCCAACTCAAATCCTAATGTGTTTCCTGCTGGTGCTGCTGCTGCTGGTGATGCTGCTGGTGCTGCTGCTGGTACACCCGCCAATGCTTGGGGTGTCTGCGGCCTGGCTGCTCGAGGCAGCAAAGGCAGCACAACACCTGCGAAAAGAATACCGTCTTGACTTTAGAGGAGAATATGTGGGGCTAGGGGTGGAGGGTCTGGGGATTAGGGCTGAGGGTTTAGATGTTAGGGTTTAGGATTTACGGTTCGGGGTCACTCGTCGGCTACGGTGCGATGGCTGCAGGCCTGAAATGGGCCTTTTCCGCAGTGTTAGGGATGCGACACACACAGAAAGAAGGACATAAAATCAGATAAAAGTATTTGAGGGGGTTGCGACCACTGCCATGCACAGACGGACGTGCGCAGACAGACCAGCAGCAGCAGCTGCTGCTGCTGCTGTTGCGGCTGCAAGAGCAGCAGCAGACCACGCAGCGGTCAAACCGCCCTGCCGCGGGCTTTGTGGCCATATACCACAATTATAAATTTAAAAAATATTGCATTTAAATCATCAAATTCATTCATTTGCACTTGTTGCCCCCTCAGGTGTGCATGCAGACCAACCGCCGCCTCCCGACCGAGCAGCAGCAGGCAATGTTGGGCTGCTCTGCCTTCTCCGGCGGTCCCCTACAGAACGAAACAGAAGCTTCACTTGCTTTGGGGTCCCTTAGGAACTGCACAGTTAAAGAGTAGGAGCCGAGATGCGGTCCCTCAGGAGGGGGCTGGGCCCCTTTCGAGGGGGCAGCTCTGGGAGGGCACTGACTACGTTTTCCAGTGGTTGTTGCAGCTGCAGCTGCTGATGCTGATGCTTCTACTGCTGTTACTGGTTCTGCCCAACTCATCTACTTAACATGTGGAGTGCATGCGTAGCCTGCAGCTCAAATTCTTGTGTTCTGCTGTTCAGAAAGCCCTCCCAGGTGTGTATAACTTCCCAAGCCTAGTAATCGCTAGACACTCCCAGCAGTGCAGCAGATCCCAAGCATGTAGCTACTGACAGGCGTAAAGAGCAGGCGATCTCTTGACATCCCTGGAAGCTAATCAAATCTACACGTTTGTGCTGCAACAGGTCAAGGGGCTCGATACCTGCAAAAAGTAAATGCATCTAAATTGCTGGTTTTTCTCTACAGAAAAGGCTTTACCGGACAACAGTGCTACAGATCTTATTCTTGTTGACTTCTGTGTTCTCCCCTGGATCATCCGTGACTGGATGTATCGATGTCGGCAACCGCTCCTAGTGGCACTGAAGAGAGGACTGCTAAATAAAATAAGAATCACGGGGGTCTCCAGCAGAGGCATCACGGCTAAAGATGCTCAGCTGTTTATTTTTATGAGTAAGCCAAATTTGTCATGGTGTTTCCGTGTACCTTTAGAGTCTTACAGGATGGCGACCAGCATCGTAGTTCGCCACGCAATCCTGAATGGCATTTTCTGTTCGTTTTCCAGTCAGTTTGCTTCCTGATATTGTTGCTCAATCTGTCGGTCTCTCCACACTACAGCTGCCTCCGTGAGAAAACGGTTAGAGACCTCAGGGGCGTCATATTGACCTTTCCCCACTCACCCGCAGCAATGGCATGTCGCGATGCACCATAGGATTAAAATTGACAACGTAGAAGCAAGCAGTGCTGCAACTAGCAGTTGGAATATGACGGAAACCTTACATAAATTGATACGGGTTGGGTGCAACAGTTGGGCAGAGAGCCAAAGTGACGTTTTCTGCAAGAAGTCGGCATCGGCTTGAGCATCTTGCCACCGTTGTTTTGTAACTGTGCTGCTGTACCTATGTACCATATTGCAGTGTTATCGAGTATTCCTTACCCAGGTCTGGATACCTATGGTAAAGCGCAAATTTTTACTCTTGGCTACTATAGAGGATTAGCCATAGTTGGGCAGCGGACGGCGCCGCCATCGAAGCCCTAGTGGTTGATTGCGGTTGGTGCTTGCAATGAGGAGCAGATTTCAATGGAGTTGACAATATTTCTTTAAATATCCATATGACATACAGGTCGATTGTATTTCTGAGGATTGTTTCAGCCAACGTGTATCTCAGGAGCATCCAGGCGCCCTCCTGTACTGAGCGGTGATGCCGTGGCGTGTACAGCGCAGCTTAAATCGGGTCGGCCTCATCCTGTTGCAGTCAGGAAATTTGTAGCATGTATATACGGAACAGCATACTTCTTGCCAAATGATCGCCAGAGCCAATCACTCTGCAAGGGGCGACCCAATGTTGTAGCCACTAGCACTTTCACTGCTAGCGTGGCTAAACATCATTTTAGGGGGTGGACAGACGACCCGCCTCTCTTGCGGTTCGATGCTGCGCATCTTCGGGAATTTACTGACTATTTTTCTGGGGTTGCATTAGCCTGCATCAAAGACCCGTTCCCAGCCTAGGCGCAAGACAGAAACCGCTGTAGTAGCCAGTGGCCAGTCTACGGGTGCGGTAAGCAGCAGCGGAAGCTGCTTGCCTTCTCTCCTTTTGCTCTTTTATTCCCCGTGTTATGAGCTCAGTCGGTGCAAAAATTCCTGTTGGGGAGGGCAGGGACACAGAGGCTTCTTTGCCTTGGGGAAACACGTGGTGGCAGCCGTACCGTTATGCTTTGCGCAGTCCTACGTGAATGTCTGCTGGGGTGCACGTCTGGTACTGTGGACCAAGCACGCTTTTAATACTTGTTCGGGACCTTATTATTTGCATAAAGACATGCATCTGGTAGGCTGGGTTGATGGGACGTTCTTTTACAGGAGCTGCAACTGAAGATCCACCAACTCTGTCACCTTGTCTCACCCGTCCGACGACGTTGTGCAGCTGCACACAGACGGTTGGAGCCTGGATGGTAGCTGACAAGCTTTGCTGGGGTTAAATTTTAGCTGATTTCGACTTGCTTGCACTTCACGACGGTACTCGTGTAAGACCGAGGGTTCCTGCACTAGGATCTGCGTCGGGCATTTCGTTGCCCGTGCACGATCACTTTATTGTACCACACACTCAAGTTGGTTCCTTGTCTAGGAAACACATCTAATGCAAGAAACTGTGCCTATACATAACAAAGTAGTACGAAGAGTTGCCGGGAAGTAGCCATGGGGCGACTGGCTCTTCGTACCCAAGGGACCCACTAGACGGCTAGCTGTGGGGGGGTCTGTCTGCTTCTATTAGGTCGAACTTTCCCTGCTTCTCCAACGGAAAACTGGGTATCTGCATACATTGCATAAATACGAGGGCAAAGAAGGCCCCCAAGAGTGACCGTGGGCAACTAGAGGGCTGCCCGCCGTCTGCAGCCGAGCGGTGGGGGACGGGCAGTGGGGGGATAAGGCGGCAAATATATAGTAAATGGGCAGCGAATTATTGAGTTCTGTTGTATGTTATGCGTTGTATGTGTGTGTTGAGGAGTATAAGCGCCAGCAACAGTATCAGAGGCAGCAACAGTAGCAGCAGCAGCAGCTGCAGCTTTCTTCGGGCTGGCTTCTGGCCCCGCACGCAGCAGCAACGCGTGTAATTTGGGAGCTAATAGAGGCGCGGGGTTTAACTAAAACGGCCCATAGAGAGAAATATTAATTAATGTCTTCATTTAGCATTTTATATCAGTTTTGTTTCCTCAGAAGCAGAGATTGCAAGGTCTAGGCTGGCTGCGCGGCAGCGCCCAACAGCAGCTGCCGGCATCCAGCCTACAGCAGCAGCAGCAGCAGCAGCAACAGCAGCAGGAGCAACAACAACGGTGCTGCAGCGCAGGCACTGCCAGAGCAGCGGCAGGTCTATTTTTGACAGTTTCAAGCATAAGTATGCTTTCTATGTAGCAGCAGCAAGGGATTAAGGAGAGAGAGGGGCCCACATAACACTAAAGGGGGGCCGTTGTCCTCCCCCAGCAGCCTCTGTCGAACTTCTCTGCTGTCTGTACAGCCGAGTTGGATTGGCGGGCTGCTACTGCCCCGTTAGGCTCCTTACCTTCTTGTACTCTGTTTTGTCTGCTGCAGCAGCAGCAGCAGGAGCGGCAGCAGCAGCTTGTCTCTAGCTTGAGACACCCCTCCCCTGGCCCCAAGCCCGAAGGCCGACCTCTGTTCTCTCTGGTGTTCTCTTCTTCTTCATTTGTAGCAGAGCCTCTCCAGCTGCATCTGCATATCTAATTGAGGTAAACAGTAGCAGATTAGCAGCAGCGGTAGCAGCAGCAGCAGCACTCCTACCGCTGAGGGGCCTGCACAGGGTCTGCGGTTCTTGTGCAGGGGCCCCCCTCCCGCCTCTATGGGGCCCCATGTGCCTCGGGAGCCCTTCTAAGGGTATTATAAGCAAGGTTCCTCTCATGTTTTGGTGTAAAGCAGCTATTATACTGCTGCTTACTGAGTCGTGCATTTTGTGTGTGCGTGTGTGTGTGCGTGTGTGTGTGGACTGCTGGTGTTACTGTTGATGCTGCTTCTGTTGTTGCTGCAGTGCTTTGTTCGTCCCATCGGGCGTCGCAGTGCAGCAGCATTAGTAGAGCCGTAGTCAGCAGCAGCAGCAGCAGCAGCAGCAGCAGCAGCAGCAGCAGCAGCAGCAGCAGCAGCAGCAGCGTTGAGGCATCGGAGTGCAACAGGCCGGTCCCATAGGATGCTCTTCGCAGGGCAGCCAGTAGCCACGGCCGCACGGCGCTAGGGGCTCCCTTGCAGCAGCAGCAGCAGCAGCAGAAGCAGCAGCAGCAGAATGTCCTCTCCTCTGGACCCTCCTTCCTTCCCTCGCCAGCGCGGCGGAAAGTTTGGGGGGCGGTAAGCTTTATGAGGGGTCATCTTTTTCTTGCTTTCTTTGTTTATTTAGTTTTTTATATCTTTGTGTCTTTCTTTTATCCTTAATTATCTGTTTGTTTACTTGCCTGTTCTTCCCCCCTCCTCCATTTTTGTTTCCTTTGTCCTTTGTTTCCAATTTGCGTTCCTCCCCTTCCTCACCTTCTTCCCTTCTTGTATTATGCCTTTGCGTCTTCATTTATTTATTTGTTTATTTATTTATTTTTCTGCTTTTTATCTTTTTTCTCCTTGTCCAGTTTGTGCTTGAACCGCTCTCTGTAACTGCTGGCATATTCGTAGTGTTGCATACTAGGGATACTTGAATTATAGTTAATTATATAATAAATTATATAAATAACTATAAATATAGTATGCTATAATAAACATAAGTAATATATACAATATAGGCGAATATAGATTGAATATAGATGCAGCTTTCTGTGTGCACAGATATGTATATACGTCAGCTTGTGTATATGCATGCATCAAATGTCTGAATAAATTAAGTATATAAATATTAAGTATAATAATAATATTATGTATAATTATATATAATTGCATGAGTTTGTGGCTGTGGTTGGTTGTTGCTGCAGCACCAGGGGTTATCACCACCATGGTGGCTCCGGCCGCTCCGGCGTAGCCTACAGAGGAGGGGGAGGGGGGGCGCTTCATCATCATAACCATCAGGGACCGCCAGGGGGGGGGCCCCAGCTGCAGAACCAGCAGCACCAACAGCCATTCCCTCATTCTGGAGGGTACGGCGGGGGGCCCCATGGGGCCCCAGACCCCGAAACCATCCCACCCCCCAATATGGGAGGAGGGGGCCCTTCGCAAGGGGCCCCCCATCACATGCAGAGAGCAGCAGGAGGTGCTCAGATGCAGCAGCAGCAGCCGCTGCCTCCTCACCACATGATGGGGGGGCCCCCGCAACAAAATTTCCTGAGGGGTCGAGGAGGACAGCAACAGCAGCAACAGCAGCAGCAGCAGTTGCCAGCTGCAGACGGCCACCAGCAGCAGCAACAACCCGTTACTCATCCCTATGATCCCCATCATCTGCAGCAGCAGCAAGCAGCAGCAGCAGCGTTGATGCATGGGGGCGGCAGGGTAGCTCCGATGCTGTTGGGTCCTGCAGGTGCAACAGCAGCAGCACCGGGTCCACTGGGAGAGGGTCCTGGCGCCCCACATCACGGCGCCCCCCCTCCTCGTTTTGACGGGCCCCACCATCCCGGCGAAGCGCTACAGCAGCAGCACCACCATCAGCAGCAGCTGCTGCTGCTGCAGGTGCAGGACCAAGGCGCTGACAGAGGGGCCCCCCCTCATCCCATGCATTTGGACCCGCATCACCCCTATGCGAGAGGGGCCCCTCCTGGGGTTGGAGATGCGACATTGCAACAGCAGCAGCACCATCACGTGGGGGGCCCTCACGGTGCAGCAGCAGCAGCTGCTGCAGCGGCGGCGGCAGCAGCAGCAGGGTACCGGTATGATGCCGTCCCGTTAGTAGCAGGCGCGTATGGTGCCCCACTAGCAGTGTACCCTGCATATGGAGAGATGTGGGGGGGGCCCTCGGGGGCCCTGCAACACAGACCACAGCAGCATCCGCTGCAGCAGGCGGGGCCCCGTAAGAAGAATGCATTGGAGATAAGAGACCCTAAGACGGGAAGAGTGATTAATGAGGACCCTTCCCTTACAGATCAGCAGCAGCAGCAGCCACCGCAGCAGCAACAACAACAGCAACCGCCTGCTGCAGTTGCAGGACCACCCCCAGGAGAGACAGCGGCACCGGCCCCACAGGCCGAGCAGCAGCAACAGCAGCAACCCTCCAGCCCCGCCAGCAGCAGCGGAAGCAGCAGTGCAGCTCCCACACAATCCGACACTGCAGCACCGCAAACAGAGAGCACGCAGCAGCAGCAACAGCAGCAGCAGGAGCCGCAGCAAGCCGCCGAGGCAGCAGGTGGAGCAGGTGCGGCAACAGCAGGCGTGGCTCGCAGGACTAACTCTGGAGAGTTTGCACCGTCTGCGCAAAGCAACAAAAGGGAACGCAGGAAGGTTCAAAATGCAGCAGCAAGGGGCCTGCCGCAGCAGCAGCAACCCGCTGCTGCTGCAGCGGGAGACGGAGCAGCAGATACGGGAGCTGGCCCTGTCAAGGCAACTGCGCAACAGGGGCCCCTCTCCACTGGGGGCCGTAGGAACAACGAGGGCTCGTCGATTCCTCCACAGCAGCAGCAGCAGCGGCAACAGCAGCAGCAGCACGAATCCGTATCCGAAATGATGGGGACGCCGCAGCAGCATGAAAGAGAGGGCAGCCCCGGAGTTGCAGGTGGCATTGACGCACAGCAGCAGCAACAACAGCCGCAGCCACCGCCGCAGCAGCAGCAGGTGCAGCAACCCCAGCCGCCACCGCCACCGCCGCAGCAGCAACAACAGCAGCAACCGGCACCGGGAGGGATGATTCGATCTCTAGGGGAGTGTGGGGCCCCCCCTCGTGCTTACGGAGAGGGCCCGCCCCCTCCCCCTATGCATTCGTATGGCCGTATGCTGCACCAGGGTGCCATGGGGGCACTGCCTGCTGCTCCTTACGGGCCTCCCTTCCACCTGCAGCAGCAGCAACAGCAGCAGCAAGGCAGGCCGATGCAGCAGCACCACAGTCAATCCCACCATCAGCAGCAGTTCCTCAACTCAGGAGAATCAGCAACAGGGGGTCCACCGGGGGGCCCATCAGGCCGGGGGCCTAGGGGAGAACGTGCAAGACAACGCAAGGCAGACCGCCAAGCAGGTGCGCGACAGCAGCAGCAGCAGCAGCAGCACGCGCAGCCGCAGCCACACGGAGCAGCGCCATGCGACCTGCATCAGCAGCAGCAGCAGCCGCAGCACCCGCTCGGCGCTAGCGAGAGTGCTGCGGCAGCTTTGCAGCAGCAGCAGCATCCACACATGATGGAGGGCGGTGCTGCAGCAGGGCAGCAGCAGCAGCAGCAGGAGCTTATGCAGGGGGGCCTCATACAGCCTCCCCAGATGCTAGGGGCCCTACCGCCTCAGGCGCTGCTGCCTCTTGGTATGCAGCAACCAGGGTATCATTACCTGCTGGCAGGAGGGGACTTGAGGGGCCCCCAGCAGCTGCCGCACTTAGCAGCAGCAGCAGCAGGTGGCCCCCAGCAGATGCAGGCCTTTGGATCTGCTGCTCGACCGGGAGCGGGTGCGCCGTTGCACCCTAACCAAGCAGCAGCTGCTGCTGCAGCAGCAGCAGGAGCTGCAGCAGCAATCCCAGTGTATGGGATTGTTGGAAGCAACTTGCTGCCATGTGGGGCCGGGCTGCCGCTGCCACACTGCGGCGACATGCCGTTGGTTATGCAGGCCTCTGTGCCTCCTCCGCTGCTGCATGTGATGCAGCAGCAGCAGCAACAACAACCTGGGCCCCTGGGAGCAGCAGCGCCTCCTCCGCTGCACGTTGCTGCGACGCCAGCAGCACCTGGTGCGGACGCAAGGCAGCAGCAGCACCCCAGACCCGACCCTACTCTGCAGCAACAGCACTTCAGGATGCAGCAACAGCAGCAACAGCAGCAGCCTGCTGGCAGAGGACTGTCTCGCCAAGCAGCTGAGGTTGTTTGTCCTGCTGCAGCAGGAGCTGCTGCTGCTCCAGGGGACGCAAGGGGCAGCCTGACTGAGGGCCCACCACCTATGCCTACAACACCCGCAGAGCCTGGTGCAGCTGCACCAGACGGCGCCTCGCATCCAGGTGCAGGAGCAGCCACTGCAGCACCTGGTGGTGTAGGTGGGCAGCAACAGCAGCAGCAACACTCTGATCGGCGTGCTAGGAAAAAGGTGCAAAACGCCCCAGTAGATCGGGTAGCAAAGAGAGAAGCCTCAGACAAGTCGGAGCAGCAGCAGCAGCACCAACAGCAGCAGGGAGCAGCGCTAGTCGCTAGTTCGCAAGCAGATGCACCTGCGGTGTCCCCGACAGCAGCAGCAGCAGCGCCGGCGGCTGCCGCACCAGCAGCAGCAGCAGCAGGGCCAGCAGCCCCAGAGCTCCAGCAGCCTAAAAGTGGTCGTCCCTCCGCCTCTGGTGGCAGCAGGCGGGAAGCTTCTGCAGCAGCAGCAGAAGAGAGCCCCCGGCCCGCTGAGGCATCTGGGGAGCAGCAGCAGCAGCAGCAGCAGCAGCGGAAGCCTCAGCGGAGAGATCGCCAGAGCGATTTAGCAGCTGACAGTACACCTGCCGCGGCAGCAGCACCGGAACAAGAGCAGCAGCAGCAAGGAGCCTCTGGAGCAAGGAGACATTCGGCTTCTACAAATGGGCTTCTAAGCCCGGGGGATGCTGCAACAACAGCAGCAACAGCAACTGCTGCTGCTCCCGGCAGCAGGCGACCCTCACGCCTAAGCAGCCCCCGTCGGGGGAGAAGCCCCAGGGGCAGCCTAAGTGCGCAGCAGCAGCAACAGCAACAGCAGCAGCCGCTACAGCAGCAGCCGCTACAGCAGCAGCCGCTACAGCAGCAGCCGCTACAGCAGCAGCAGCAGGCGAGTCGGACTGCAGGTGGGGTGGAATCTGTAGTCGGGAGTGATTCGTTGCAGCAGCAGCAACAGCAACAGCAGCAGCAACAGCCTAAGCGGGGGGAGAGCAGGAGCCCCTCTGCCGCACCAGCCGCAGCAGCAGCAGGGGATAAGCAGAGTAGCGGGGGAGATGCAGCAACAGGCGGAGGAGCAGCAGCAGATACACCTCCATCAACAGCAACGGCAGTCCCCTCACACACATCTGAGGCTTCTGGCGGCTTCTCGCCTCTGCGCTCGGCAGAGACTGCGGCAGCAGGAGCAGCAACAACGGCTGCAGCACCAGCAGCAGCAGCAACACCACAGCAGAAGCCGTTCAGGCGGAATTTGGATGCCTTGTTGGCTGAGACACCAGCAGCGGCACCAGCAGCAGCACCAGCAGCAGCAGCTGCTGCTGCAGATACGCCATTTTCGAAGCGCGCAGTGTCCCCGGCCTCAACAACAGCAGCAACGGCAGCAGCCGCAGTAACTGGGCTGTACTCTGTTGCTGAGCTAGTGCGGCTGTATAGGGCCCTGAAGCCCCACATTGTTGCCCCTGATTGGCGCTTCTGCTGCGGTGATATGGAGGACATGAGGAGACCTAGCAGCAGTAACAGCAGCAACAGCAACAGCAACAGCATGGGCGGGTTTGGCGGATTCAGAGAGTGGCAGCGTCGTACTGGAGCACCTTCTGCTGCAGGCAGCAGCAGCAGCAGCAGCAGCAGTAGCAGTAGCAGTAGCAGCAGCAGCGGCAGCAGCAGCAGTGGCAGCAGCGGACTCAATGGTTTAGGCGCTTCTGGCAGTCTCTTTGGGATACTGCGGAGACAAGGTGGAACAGCAGCAGCAGGCAGCAGCAGCAGCAACGGCTCCTTAAGGTCGTTTAGATTCCCAGGCGAGGCAGAAGGCGGAGGGGACAGACAAGGAGACAACCGCATGGGCATGGGCGGCAGTGCTGCAGCAAGTGTACCGCAGTGGCGATCTGTAAGTGGCCATATATGCTGCTTCTTGTCTCATCTTTCTGCTGCTGCTGTTCCATTTTCTGTTGTCTCCTCCTACCTCCCGTTGCTTTCCGCTGCTCCTTTTTGTTCCTCTGCGTATTCTCCGTCAAAGTGCTTTCTTTTCCTGTGTTTTAGTTGAGGTAGCTGTTGTATGTGTCTCTCTGCTGCTGCCTTTGCTGCGTTTGTTGATTCTTAGTCGGGAGGGAGTACTGGAGCCCCCTTCAGAGGGACCCTTGGCGTTGGGCGCGGGGCCCCCCCCACGGACGGGTACTCGAAGTTGAGTGGTTTCTTTGGCAACAGACCGCCGCCTCCAGCGAGAGATCCAGTGGTGAGGATTATTTGGTGTTTACGTTTTGTCTCTTGTTTCTTTCATTGAATTATTATTGTTCGTCTCCTTTCTCCGTTCTTTACTCAGTCTGTGTCGTTGCTGGCTGATCTGCAGTACAACTTTCTGTCTCGTCTTTGCTACACATAAACCTGCTGGTGTTATTGCTGCTGTTGCTGCTGCTGCTGCTCTTCAGCCTCAGCAGCCCGTTATAACCCGCTCGGCTGGCTGCTCAACTTTCCGGGCAACACGAGACATCGACCCGCGGGAGAGGAAACGCCGCTCATTAAATGCATTGTTAAATAAACTAACGATCGATAACTTCGGTGTTGTATGTGAGAAAGTCTGCCTTGAGGCAGAGCAGTTCGATGGTGTCGCCGACCTTGAGCTCCTTTCTGACCTCCTCTTCAATAAGGTTAGCAACATGAGCAACAACTGCGGCAGCAACTGCAGCAGAAACAGCAGCAGCAGCGGTTGGGTTTGTCTGCGCTGCGTCATTACTTCCGTTGATTAGATTAACGGGCCAATGTTTGGCCGCATCGTGTCTTTTGGTTGATTTTGCTGTCGGTTAGCTTGTGTTGAGGGTTTATAAGTGTTTACTGGGATGTTGAGGGTTCAGGGAGTGTTTACTGGGAGAGTTTAGAGGGTGTTTTATGTGTGTCGAGGGCTTTGCATGTGCATCTGTAGATTTGTTCATGGATTTTGGGTTCTAAGAATTTGGTTAACCAGTACAGTTTGCAGTTGTTGAGGACTTAGGGTTTAGGGTTTGAGGGTTTAGGATTTTGGGGTGTTCGTGTTTTAGGCGGTGTCTGAACCGGAGTACAGCGAGATGTATGCGGACTTATACCAGATAATCCGCTGGCGCAGCCCTGAGTTTGAGGTGCAAGGAGAAAAGAAGATGACCTTCCATAAAACATTTGTAAATCGACTACAAGATGAATTCGAAAGGTAAGCAGCAAGTGAAGGCTGCTGCTGACAGCACCTGCTGCTGTTACATACTCTGCTGCCGTCGGTTGCTGCAGCGGGAACGGTTAGCGCGCACCGTGAAAAGCCCTCCTGCAGAACAGTAATGGGGTTTAGCGTTTAGTTGGGGCTGGGATATTGTTCTAGTGGGGAGAGTAAAAGTGGTAATGATGGATTTGTTGATCACACGACGCTCAGCGAAGGCATCCCACGGAAGTGCACTTCGCTGCTGCTGCAGTAGCAGGAACAGCAGCATCACCAGCAGCAGCGCGTGTTGAGGTAAAAGAGCACATAGTCTTCTTGTCTGCCATGGGACATGCATGTTACCTAGTAATTGGCTCATTGCGTGGTGTTTCCGCCGCTTCTGCTTTTTCTGCTGCTGCCTCAGTCTGCAGGGCAAGGACGTACTGCTGATAACGGAAGAGGAGCGAGCAGAATGTGTGGATGCTGATGACGAGGCAAAGCTGCTAAAGAAGAAGAAGACGAGGGTATTGGGGAATATGCGTTTTATTGGCGAACTTTTTTTGCGTCGTGCTCTAAGCCCCAACGTGCTAAATGATGTGGTGCATGCACTCGTCTTTAGTAGCAAAGGAGACGCCTTCCCAGATGAGCACTTCATCGAGTGTCTTACTGAGCTGCTCACCACCATCGGTATGTCATAGCTCTACCAAATACACAGTATACACTTTATGCGCAGCAGCAGATGCAGCAGCAGACACGCATTGCTGCAGAAATAGGACTTCGTTGTAACAGTAACAGCAACTGCAGGAACTGCTTCCGTTGCAGGACGGTTGTCTGCGTGTCTGTGATTTCTCTTGTATTTTAGTGGCTTTACTTGGTATATTTGCATGATTAGCAGTAGTTTTTGTGGTTAACGACTGTATTTGTAGGTTACACGATGGATCTTCAAGAGGCCTCTCGGGGCATGATGAATGAATTCCTTGGGAAGCTGCAGGAGCTGCAACGGCGAGCTCATTACTCGAGCAGAATAGTCTTTAAAATTCAAGATCTGCTCGATTTGCGCCAGAGACAATGGACGAAGAAAGTCTTCCGAGATGTTGCTAAATCCGTCGCACAAATTCGTGAAGATGTACGCACACACAACTCCCCATACGTGCATATATATATATATATATATA